GGAGGAGGGGGAGGAGGGGGAGGAGGAGGAGGATTACATTTTGACACAGTGGTAAAGTTGAAACATTTTTAAAAGCAACACAACCTTCTCCTGTTTACAGTGTTTAGCTTGGACCTGACCAGATACAATTCCAATTGGGCAGGAAATTTGGGAGTATCTTCATGGCAGCTGAATGAAGTCTGGGCATGTATTCAGCCTGGGTATGGCCAGAGGAATGAGCCTCAGTTCTTAGCCTGCGGCTTGCTGCCTATGGCCCGGAGTGGGCGGGGCCAGTGACTCCAGAAGAAGCCCAGGATGTGGTGTTCTGTGTTGACAGTACTGACTTACACTGTATAATCTGCCTTGCATCTTAGTGAGAAATGTGAACTATAAACAATGTAAATAAAAGACTGGAATTTTGTAACATTTGGTTTATTTAAAAATTTTGAATTTTGTAAGCTGTTCTGGGCCCTCATTGGTGAAGTAAAAAAAGATCTTTACATTAATTAAGCAGGAGAACCTTTACTAGTGACTAGCCTTAGTAAGTTTGTCTATTCTTATGTCTGCTATTCTAACAGTACAGCCCACAAGCTGTGGATATTATCTGGGCTCAGTAACTGACATAACAAGACAGAGCACTGTTATACATCAAAATGGACACATCACTGCATGTAAAATTTTATAATCATGAGCACTCACCATTAGGATGGAACATTTTCGATAAAAACCTAACAGTTGGAGGCTTATTTGGATATTCTTCTGAAAATTCTATTACTAACTTAAAGGTACCTGCATAACAAGAGGAAAGAAGAGAAAAAAGACTATGTACATGTAATTGCTTTTAGAACCCAGACGTGACATTTTAGTTTTGCAAAAGAAGTTATGACTAACATCAGGGCCTACTACTCCAGGGCCTACTACTCTAAAAATAATGTTAGACCAAGTGTTTATTTTTATTTTAAGTGTTAATAAAGCTCTGCAATACACGGCTAAGAATAGAAATAACATCAGCATCCTCATATCATTTTAGCAGCCCACTCAACAGAACCTACAACACAACGTAAGTTATTCAGATATCAACTGCCCTAAAGAAATGGAAGCTCAATACAGAATTATTTCTGTGGAATTTCCACAGTCTAGGAGTGTGACATTGATGGTGACCCCCCAACCCCCCCCCCCAAGAATTTGGCCAACTTGTTTGACAGAGAAAATTATCTGACCTGTATTATATTTGCATATTTATCTTGCTCTTCGTCCAAGAAGCTCACGGTAGCATACATAGTTCTCTATTTTATCCTAAGAACCACCCAGTAAGGTAGGTTAGACTAAGAAAGAATGACTTGCCCAAGGTCACCAGATGAGCTAAATGACTGAATGGGGATCTGAATTTGGACCTTCCAGGTCTTTATTTCGCCACTATACCACAGCAACCCATAAATTATGAGTTCTATAATGTTGCATTTTAAGCTGGTGTAGATTGTGGTGAATGACCAATTATGAGCTTCTTCAGAAATTATGAAAAACTTATATGGAAAAACACTGCTGGGCAGAAAGCAGATCAAATTCATGCACAGTGCATCATGTCATACATAGAGCAATACAAACATGTTCATTTAAATACACAGAAATTATCCACACAACTTTCAAACTATATTAGAAACACAAAACTGCCCTCCAAATGAAAAGAAGTCTAATGTGTGAATCAGCCAGAACCAATCAAATCTGAATCCAACACAAAGCAGATCAAAAAAGTAAAGGAAAGAGGATACCAAAACATGAAATAGAAAACCACACATAAAATCCTCACTATGCTTCTCATGGCAATGAATTCTGGTACCCTTTCATTTTCATCTCAGAGAAATCTCTTGAGAGTCTTAATGTAAGAGGAATGATTTCAAGTTCTCCTTTGCAGTGGAAAGATCTCAAGAAAGCTTTCTTTTGAGACAAAAAGACAACAGATTGTTGCCCCAAGGAATATTCTTTTTTCTAAAAAGATGTTGGACTATTTATATCCAACTATTTCAGAATAAACTTTTACTTAGTACCAGCAGGGGTCTTTTCCAGCCGGAGCCCTCCGGGACGGAGCTCCAGCAGTTAAGGCAGCAAGCCTCGCCCCCAGGAGGAACATGTGCAGACAGCCCAGCCCTGGCCCCAGCCGGAGCTCAGCTCTGCCCAGGCAGGCGGGCCCCCTGGTGGTCCACAGCGGGGGGGACAGGAGGAGAGGCGCAGGACACTTCCTGGGCGACTGACCTCAGCCGGGCAGTCCCAGCCCTTTCCCCTCCCCTCGCTGTTCCCTCCCACCCAGCTGGAGAGCCTCTCCGTGCACACTGGCCCCGCCCCATCTCAGCTGTGCCTCCCCCTCCCCTCCTACAGCCTCATTTTCCCCCTGCAACTATTTGTTAATTGCTCCCTTTCCTCCCCCTCTCTTCCTCTCCCTCTTTCCCCTGCTCCATTTAACTGAATTTATTTCCTGCCTCTCTTATCCCCCCCTTTCCTCCCCCCCCCGTTTCCCCCTGCAGTGTATTGATTT